CAGGGGGACACACGGTCCAATTTGAGAGGCGTTACAATACCAAAAGCAATGGAGTAACAACAAGAGGAAAAGAAAAAAGAAGCTTGGAAACACATAGCAAAGGAAAAATAGGGTGTGGGGCCTGAGGAGGCCAAGCTGGTTTGATAGAGATGGGAGAAGGTATAAGCTCTGAAGGTTATAGTCAGATGTTTGATGTAACAACAGCTAACATTTATAGAATGTTTTAAAAGGTTAGCAAAAAAAAAGGTTAGCAAAGCAAATTCCCTATTTTTTCTCATTTGATCCTCACAACACTGGGAGGTAGGTACTATTATTATCCTCATTTTATAGAGGAGGAAATTGAGGCAGAGGTTAAGTGACTTGTCTGGGGTCACATGGACAGTAAGGGTTTCCTAGACTCCTAGCTCAGCATGATATCTAGCTGGTCATGGTATGGCTGGTAGTAGTGGCTACCCAAAGGGCAAGCAGCAGAGAGGCTGAGGTAATTGGCACAGGGGTGAGTGTGAAAGATGGCGCTCAGCCTTAAGGATGGGCACTGGATGCCTTGGTTACCCAAGGGCTTTTCCTTAGACAGGGCATGTGACGTCTTCAATCTCATGATTTATTACACATGCCCAGGTTCCCCTGTCCTCCACTTCTACTGTAGCAGAGACTGGGGGCTGGGGGGGGGGGGGGAGAAGAGAAGAGCTGATTGGAGAGTGGAGCCTCTCTCAGGCTTCTTCCAAGCTGTCAGGGGGAGCCAGGAGCACAAGCTTCTGCAGGGCAGGGAAGGGAGGAGAGTTAGTTAACAAGTGCTTATTAAGCACTTATTCTGTCAGTAGGCTAAGCTCTGGGCTTAGAGAAAGGCAAAAACACAGTGCCTATCCTGAGGAAGCCAAGATGCTAATAATTTTGCTAAATGCAAAGAACTGTATCTACAAGAATATATAACTAGTCTATGAGGAAGGTTATGCTAGAGGGAAAGCACCAGCAGTGGAGGTGCCGGCAAAGACTCCTGCAGAAGACAGGATTTAAGCCAAGTTTTGAAAGAGTCGTGAAGGATAAAAAAGCAAGGTTCTTAGGAGTAGAGGATAGTACCGAGATGAACTGATTCAACCCACAAGAGTCAGGGGAGATAGGACAACGCAGGGTGATGGCCTGCAAAAGAAATGAGGAATGGAGGGAGGTGTATGGGGTGAGTGAGAATGGAAAAGAACTCGGTGGGTGGCAGGGAAAAGAAGGAGGCCAGCCAGGATTCTTCCTGACAACTCAGAGCACCAGGTCACACTGCAAGTTCTAGTTCTGCCACTTGGCAAGTCCATTCCTATCTTTGGGACTGTCTTCTCATTTGCAAAAAACCGTGAAGTGTTGGGAGTAGTTGTCGCTATGATTCTCTGCAATGTTAGTAGTTATGATACTCTCTGCCCTGGTCCTGCTTGGCAGCTGGAGAACCTCTCTTCCTTAATCCTCTGGCTACTTCACAGATCCTTCTCAAGGATCTTGATAGCTGTTAAAGGAGGTATAATGGGAAGAGCCCAAGATCTGGAATGAGAGGATCCAGACTCAAAATTTGGCTATGCCACTTATGACCTGAACTAACTTATGAACACTTATGACTTTGAACTAACCTCTCTGGGCCCAAGTATCCTCCTCTACTAAAAGAGGGAGTTTGCTTATAAATGATAATGTTGCACTAGAGGAAGCAGATTACTGCTGGGTCCATGGCTCCATTGTGGAATAGACCGTATCACCTCCAAAGTCAGTTCTAAATTTATAAACCCATGAGAAGATGTGCTCTAAGATTTCTCCCAGAAAAAAGTTCTAAAATTTTCTATAATGCATAGGAATTAACAAGGAAGAGAGGATGGGGAGAACATCCTAGGCATAAAGGTAGGAAAGCACAAGTTGTGTTTTGAGCAGAGAGAGTAATCCCTGCCTGCAGCTTAGGAAAAACAGAAGATCTGAAAGCTAGGCTGGCAGGATGAGACACCAGAGAGCCCTGAGGGCAAAGGAATCTGAGTTTGAGAAGCAGCATGGTACATGAGCAGGAGGTAGGAAGGCTAGATTTGGACTCAGAGCATATGAGATCCAATCCTGCTCCAGTGATGTCATCTCCATATGACCACATATCAGTCATTTAACCTGTTGTTGGACCTCAAGTTCGCTCATCTATAAAATGATGGCCTTGGGCTGGATTGGTCTCCTAGGTCCTTTCAGTTTTAAAATGGATGCTCCACCAGTTCTTGCCGGAGCTAAAGGCCACTGAGTGAACAGTGGGAACAGCTGTTGCCACCATCACCATGCAAGCTCCTGGGCTTTAGTCTAACAGAATTGCTATCAAATCCCTAATCTCACATGCAGGATACAACAGTCATCTGGTCTCTTTCCCCTCCTTTATCCCCTCTAACTAGTCTACTATCAAGCCCTGCCCTCACTTCTTTGGAAAGGAGAAGCAGCGTAAGACTGTGGATCACTGTTCTTTTGAGTCATGGACTCTGGGTTAAAATTCCACCTCTGCCACTTATTACGTGTGTAACCCTGGACAAGTCACTTCATTTCTCTGGACCTCAGTTTCCTCATCTGTAAAATGTGGATGGATAAAATGATTTCTAATTCAGTTTGACAAAACATTTATCAACTACCTACTATTTCCTGTGACTGCCTATGAAATCTGTTGCAGACTTTACAGAGGATCAGAAATGGAAGGACTTACTGAGCCTAATACCTTCAGGTGAGCAACGAGAAAACAGACCCAGAGAGGAAAAGCAACCTGTCCAAAGTCACAGAGCTGGTCAGTGGCAGAGCCTAGACTAAAACGTCGGCCTCTTGAGTCCTTGCTCAGACTCTCCCCAAGATGACCTCCAATTTACCCAGTGTAGAGCTTGCATGTACGATGTTGTCTGCATGATGTCTCCCCCATTAGAATGTGACCTCGTTGAGGGAAGGGACTGTTTTCTGCTCTTCTTTGTATTCCCAACACAGTGCCTGGCACATAATGAATGTTGCCTGTAAAATGATTGCCACATCCCTAGGGCAAAAGCCTCAATGAAGGTATTAGGTTCCCTTCTTTACCCCTCTGAGTCATCTTGCATGCTGCCAAAACTCATCTTCCAAAAATATCACTGTCTTCGTTCAATCTACAAACATTTATTGATGTTTATTATCTGCAAAGACCCTGTTCTGAAATATATCCTGTTCATACAAAAATGAACAAGCCCAGGCCCTGGCCCTTATGCAGCTCATGGAGAGGGCGGGAGAGAGGAGATTAAACATATACACAAAAAAATATAAAGTACGATCAAGATGCTATGTTGGTCAGAGTAAGGAGAGATCATTTCTCATTCGCAAGGATGAAAGAAGGCTTCCTGAAGGAGGTAACATTTGAGCTGGCCCTTGAAGGGGAGATATTTGAAAAGGGAGAAACAAGAGGGCACCCCAGTCACTGGAGCAGAATGAATAGAAGCAGGGGCAGGAAAGAGCCAAGTATTCCATGTTTCGTTCCATGTGGCTGGAGCACACACAGAATGTAGATAAAATAGTGGGATAAAACTTAAAACATACAGAGAAGACTTATGGAGGACCTTGAACCAGGACACAGGACTCTTTGTCAGCACTTTCAAAAGCACCTGGACCATGTCCCAATGCAGCAGAGAACAAGTCTCCAGGTTGAGCTTGGTAAAGGTCTCCCTAGCCAGCAGGTCACCCTAGGAGATTGATAGCAGCAGAGTGTACCTTCCTTTCTGAGTTGGAAGAATTAAGGTGGGAACAGCTGTTCCCTGGTTGCTTGCCCCAAGGAGGAAATCTTCCTCCACACATACAAGGGCTCTAGGCTCTAGGGGCATTTTAGAGAGCTGACTCATACTTCAGAGAAATGACGAATAACTGGCGACCAAAACCAAACATTTTCTTTTCTGGAAAGAAGGGAAGCTGTCCCTGTTACTGAAATGTCCAGGGTTTTACCTTATCTCCTTTCAAAAAGGCAGACAACAAATGTAGGTGCCCCATTCCTTTTCCAAAGTCCATATCTGATAAGTTGCAGGCCCCTCTGGGCACTGTTCCTTTCTGGTTCCCCAGGGAGTGGCTATCTCTGAGGACACAGAAGGAAGCTAAAAAAAATCTTAGTTAATCACTCTACGGGAAGGACTCTTGTCTCAAAGACAAGTACAGAGAGGTGATGGTCAGGCCTATGAATCTGGGTACCAACTCTGCCGTTAGGCCCTGAAAACTCAGACAGAAGAAGTCCTGGGATAAAGGAGAAGAGCCTACAGATCCTTCTCCCAAGGGCTGGCAGAGCTGAGACCAGGAGAACTGGCTCAGAGAAGCTTTTCTCTCTCTTGTCCACACCTGAAGTGAGAAGGAACAGGGTTGGTTGACCTTTAAAATTCCTTTTAATTCTAAATCTATGATCCTCTGACCCTTCAGCTTGGCAGCCAGGACCCTGATCTGACTCTTTTAGGCTTTCCTCATACCCTAAGAGCCAAAATGCTTTGAACGGCATAGAGACTCTAGAAAGACTGAAAGGGGATAAGGTCTCTTTTAAGACACAACTTTTCAAACAGGGAATCAAACACAAAGCAGAGTCATCCCTGAAAATTCCACACTGGACTCTGCCAGAAAGACAATAATTATAAGGACAGGACACCATGGTGCTGGGGTGGGTGGGTAGAGCAGGAAGAATGGGGACTGACCCCATAAGGCAGGATGAGAAGGGAGGTGCTGTTTGCATCTTAGATGGCTTCCCCAAATATAAGGAAGGCAGTGGCAGGTCAGCTCAATATAGTGCTATCTGGGGGCCTGGGCATATGGTCTTCCAGTCACTTTGTCAGGTCATGGCAGGCTCTCAGGGTGCAGGTGGGGGAGAGGGCGAGAAAAATGAATCTAACCCTATCCCAAATGGTTCACTAACTCACCCCCCCCCCAAACCCAGGAATACTGGCCACATGCTCGTGATCCCCAAGCAGGCAGCCATGTGCCACCTATTTCCCTCTCTGTTCCCCTCTCTCCCTGCCATGGGTACGTACTGTTTCATGGCCATGAGTTTTGAGTCCATACTCTCCTGTTTGCCCTTCATCATCTGAACATCTGTTAGCAGCTTGGTGACGTTGTCCTGTCGGACCTTTATATCCTCCTGCTTTATGCTGGAGACCTGGGGGCATGAGAAGATGGACTGAGTCAATGAGGTCCCTCATCCAATCTTGGTCTTCATTAGGACCCACACTAACCCTGTCGGCTTGAGGCAGGCCTGAAAACCAGTGTTCAGGAGATGGAGACAGCAAGGCCTTTTGGATTTTATGGTTTTTTTCCCATGGTACCTATGGTAGCCTGAGGGTACCCTTCAGCTCACAGCAGAAGAAGGAAGATGGGGTATGACCAAGCTGGTTATGCATGCATACACACAGAAATATATATTCATATCCATAGAAGTATTTCATTTTCAAGTACCCTGGGGATAATGCAATCTGACCACTAAGCTAACGAGGAGGCAGTGTGCTAGGAGCTGTTGACTTTAAATTAACCAGTTCTCGCTCTGAAGTGGCAGCTTGCTAGCATATCTGGCCTCAAGCAATATGGGGGAGGGAGACTGAATGGGGCTTGGGGTCCTTGGGGCTCTTCCTTAACCCTAAGCTAGCCTGGACACTGCCTCCATTTTTAGCAGGAGCTGGAAATGCTTCTTTAGCTACATAATAGTATAGAAATAGCATGCTCTAATTAGCTGCCTCCCACTCATGACATTCCAGGGCTCCTGATTCTGGCCTGCCTTTACCCACACACGTAGGGAGGCTAAAGAGAGGGAGCACAGGGAGGGAGCCGAGGTCCCACTTCTGCACCACACCCCAGGAACCCCAATCCTGACTCAGGTTCAAGTGTAATTCAGAATCACTTTGGGGAAGGAGAGCCCCACAGAGGTGACCTAGCTTAAGAGGCAGAGGGGAAGGGAAGTCGCCCGGACGCTACCTCAGGGCTGCAGCTAAGTGGCCCCAGGACACCAAAGGGTACCTCAGGGTAGGTCTGCCCTGCTGTGTGGGCTGCAGTAGCTCAGCGGGAATGGGAGGGACAGGGACTCACACTGGTCACTTTCCTCTTGATGTTCTCCAGGAGCTGCTCTTGGCCCCGGATAAAGTATGGGTGCTGAAACTCTGTGTCATCTTTCTCCGGCTTCACCAGGCCGCCTTGTTCAATGTGGACAACCTTTCGAAAACCATCTGTATCAGAAAGAAGGAAGAGAAACAAAGGTCAGGGGCACCCATGCATCCTTTTCCATGCCTCGTCTCTAGGAGGAATGAGAAACTAGGGCAACACCCCTCAGTACTTAAGGCACTTCACAAAGGCCTTCCTTCAACAGTGATGGGGAAGGAGGCACCATTGCATCAAGGTCCTTCCTACATTGTCTACAATGCTCCAATTAGGGTCTGACTGGGGCAGGAGTGGGGCACAGAGGAGCTATCAATCCCTAGGAGGGGCTGGGCCTCTCCTAATACAGCTCAAGTTTATCTCGGCTTTCTCAGCTTCTGGATTACACTGCTGACTCATACTGTATTCAGGCCATTAAAATCCCCAGGTCTTTTTCAGATGAAACACTATTTACCCACACACCTATCTTACACCTGTGAATCAAGTATTAAGTCTTTACATTTATCTTTATTAAATTTCATCTTATTAGATTTGGCTCAACATTCTTGCTTGTCAAGACCTTTTTGTATCCCGACTCCATCATCTGGTATTAGCTAGAAAACCCTTCCAGTTTTTTCCCTCTGCCTATGCAAATCCTAATCATCCTTCAGGGCTCAGGATTTCTTCCTAAGGACTTGACTATTAGAGTCCTTGTTGATGTCCCTTGCCTATGAAGAGTAATCGTAACCTGAATTGCTTAATTTAGGGCACGGAGTTTTAGGTACAATTTTTGTTCCCATTGCACGGCAAGGGCAGCTTGGTACACAGCAAGAACTTGAGAAGTGTTTGTTGTATTAACATTTATGTTCTACAAATGTCTCATTGCTGTGTGAAGGTGACCCTGAGTTTCTGAAGGCTATGCAAGCAGAGCATTAAATTCTACTGAGTACTATCATTCTGGGAATGCTTAGCTTATATAAGGCTCTGGCAAAAGACTGCTGTTCAAGGATTAACTAAGCTAAGAATGGAATAGGTTGGAGGCTAGATGATGAATTCTTTGACTATGGCACATATGAAATAAAAATAAAACTGGTCCCCAGGTCTATTCCCTCTCCCTCTGCCTCTTGAGCGATGGTGGCAGAGAAGTGGGCAGATGGTATTTTCACCTTTAGTTTCCAGACTTTATAAACATGACTGCCAAGTACTCTATGAGGACTTTGTCTAGTGACTACTGAATTGACACACTATTGTAAAGAGGACAACCAAAGCAATACTGATGTCCTCTGTAATAAACAAAAAACAAAAGGAAGCTGCAGCCCAATAGAAAGTTAGCTCAAAGAGTCTACCTGGGGAGCAAAGAAGCTGGTTTCATTATGTACCCAAAGACAATAGAAAACATATCATGGGACACTTGGTCATCATATCTTGTAGTCCTCATGATGAGCTGGAGGACAAAGATACTTGCAGTTTGTGCCAACATGTTTACACAACACAAAGACAGAGGAATTCTGAGAAGAACCTGACAAACTCTTTCAAAGTCAACCTTGGTTTTTGTTCAGTGTCTTCAATGTGAAGTCAGGGGATGTGGACAAAGACAGCTGAATTACTAGTCTGCAGACTGATGCCTCTTACGTGGGCAGCAATGGTTCATTCTTCCTGGGTCCTGCTATACCTCCTTTTCTCACTAGAGAATATCATTACATCTATTGTGCTTGTGTTTCAGTCCCCTGAAACCACATACTCCTTAAAGTAAAGCTATTCAAGGCTAAACTGGGGTGAATATCATAACATAAGACAAAGATAATGTCCCAAGCCAAGATGCTGGTGTTTTTCTTCCATTTCTTCCCTTTCATCCACAGAAGAGCGGGTAGGCTGGCTCAGTGATGAGGTGATGCTCTACTTAATGTTTACTCTTTGGATAAATTAACGTGAAGCACACTCTAGGAATGAAGATGACTGATTTAGGTTGGGCCAGCTGTGATAAACTGGGACTGTCACTTTGGGGCTGATGGGAATGGGATTATAGCACTGCTGATTTCTGGTTGATCCTAAATATCTTTTAAAAAACACCTCTAAAAGGGGCAGCTAGGTGGCGTGGAGGATAGAGCACCAGCCCTGAAGTCAGGAGGACCTGAGTTCAAATCCAGCCTCAGACCAAACACTTGACACTTACTAGCTGTGTGACCCTGGGCAAGTCACTTAACCCCACCTGCCAAAAACAAACAAAACAAAAAAACCCCAACAAACAAACAAACAAACAAACAAACAAAAAAAAAACACCTCTAACTTTGTGTCTCTTTCATGTAGTTGCTTCTAGCACTCTTTAATATGAACTATTAATCAGCTGATCCTTCAGGCTAAATAAGTAAAGGAACAATAAAAAAATGTATTGGAAAACACAGTTCTGGTTTAAGAAACAAAAATGTCCAAAGGTTTGTAGACTACTTGGAAGTTTCATGCCTACACATCATGAATATTTTATTTCAAACTAAAGTCAGAAGCTATTGGACATGTTGAGCACCAAATATTACAAAAGAGTGAAACTGACTATAACTTAAACAGTAAACAAATGGTTACTGATATGGGGGTCAAATTAGAATAAACTCTCTCACAGACTGCTGAGAGGTACATCAGAAGTCAAAATCAATAAATTAGAAGAAAGGTCAAAGGTGAGAAGATGACGCTGGGAGCTTTGACTCGATCTATTCAAATAAACTTTGACACCATATAGAGAGAAATGGAAGGCAAAGATGTTGACCTTTAGTATCACCATTTTCTATTAGATTTTAACCAAAGTAAAACAGTTGCTACAAGGAGGTGGCCAAAAGCAGTTTGAAACAGCCTTAACCAGCAAATGCTTGATCTCATTGTCAAGCAGACAGACATGCCAGTCAAGGGCAACACCAGTTCAGAATACAAAGTTAATAGGAAACTATGATGGAGGAGGATGGTAGAAGATTATAAGCAATATCTTTTTATGAAATGGTGAAAGCAAAAACAAGTCTATAGAAAATTTGGCTTGAAAACCAAATGAGTCACATCATCAAAGAATATTAATAGATAAAACTGGCAGAAGCACAGTAGACAAAATGAAACAAATTTGTCAAAATTTTTATACTGATCTATTTTCATAACTAGTAACAGATGAACCATCACATTTGGGCCCTAACACTTCAATCTTCCGTGTTATAAATTAGAAATTGTTTTAGAAAGGTGAAGTCTATCTGGGCCCCACTGCTGGGGAGGCTGAGGTTGGTGGATTGCTTGAGTTTGGGAATTCTAAGCTGTGGCAGGCCTAAAGCCAAAAAGGTGTCAGTATTAAGTCAGACCCCAATATGGTGAGTCCTCAAGGGCTGAAGGTCACCAAGCTGTCTGAGGATGGATAAACTGGCCCAGGTGAAAATAATGGAGCAGTTTATAACTTTTAAGTACGTAACTATTGGGATCTGGGCCCTGAGGGGCTACTTCAATTCCAGGCTGGGAAAAATAGGGACAATCTAAGTCTCCCCTCATCCCATCCCCACTCCCCAAAAAATGAGAAGGAAGGAAAGGAAAAAAAAAAAAGCAAATTAAGGGAGAGTGACAGGATTAGAACAGGTATACACCAGAGAAATCCATGCTGGATGCCATATAAACTTGAAAGCCTAAAGTATCAAATTAAATTTTTATTTTCAGATCCTCATTCTCTCCCTCCCACTTTCCTCCCCCAATTGAGACAGCAAGAAAAACAAAACCTGTTACAAGCACACATAGTCAAACAAAACAAATTCCCACATTGGCCATGTTCCTCCCTGCCTCCCTAAATATATATAAAAAATATATATATATATATATGTATATGTATGTGTATATCCGTATATCTATATGCTATCACTTCTCTATTAGGAGGTGAGCAGTATGTTTCATCTGGAGTTGAGGAACATATTTATAAGAAATCCTAGAGAGGCAAGGATGGGGAACTTGTGGCCTTCTATGTCCTTGGATGCTGCCGTTTGACTGAGTCCAAGTTTTACAGAACAAATTCTTTTATTAAGGGGATTTGTTCTGTGAGGTTTGGATTCAGTCAAAGGGCCACACTTGAGGACTTAGAGGGTCACACACGGCCTTGAGGCTGCAGGTTCCCCATCCCTGGCCGCCTAAACAAAAGGATGATAAAATAAGTCAGGGATGATTTTAATATCCCCAAAGGCAGCTGAGATAACAACAGTTACCAATGAAAAAGATGCAGGGAATACACAAAAACTAAAAAATCCCACCAATGGGCATGGTAAAATCCAAACATGGCCTTAAAGGTTCTCCTTTAACACGGAGTTTCTCATGTATATGTTAAGATCACGCAAGATTTACTGAAAAATATTTCTCTGATTATCAACATCAATGGAGGCATAAAACAGGGAGATGTATTCTTTTCAAAAGTGTTTAATGCTGTCACTGAAGATATTCATATGCAAGCGATATTTTTTCTATAGATAGTAAGGACCTCTAGAAGGTCCAACTTATGTGCTGGCTGCATCAAGTCCTAGAGAGAACACACTATGGTTTCCTCCAGGAGAGCCATGATCTTAAAAGAGAATGGCTTATGCCATTCTAGCCTATGACATGCAGCTTAGTGGTTAGTCCATCTTCAAGGAGATGTGTGCTCGAAGGAGCCAGGCCATCTGTCTGGCAAGAGCAAGAGATGACTGTTGGCATAGGCCAAATGATCTACTGGTCCTCACAAAGCATAATCTAGAGGAAGGCCTCTGACACGCTGGTGCTCTGCTGGCCCTGCATGGAGGGTTTACGCATTGCTGAGAAAACCTGGAGGGATCTGAGCTGCTGTGAAGGGGGTACCCACATCAGCAAACCTGCAGGACCCCTGAAATCAAGCGCTGGAGGACCAGTACTAATCTTAGAGACTGCTGCCAGAACCATTTTAGTATTGGAAGTGACCTAAGAAATCACCCACGTGATTCTTTCCTTTGATAGAGAAGTTCAGGAAGTCACTCGGCATCTTGCAGCCAGCCTGCCAGTGGGGCCAGGGCCAGAACCAGGAGTTGAAGAGGCCAGGCTTTGTCCAGCCTCTCTGTACTTCATCATGCCGTGCTCGCCTTGTCCCCCAAAGAGACTGTGAGCTCCAGCACCTCCCTTCCTTCTCTAGCTCTGCCGCTCTGGTCTGGCTGCCACTCCTAAGAGAATAGACGGGGATGGGCCTGCTGTCCCGGGGCCTGGCCTTCCCCACCCCCAGCATTACTCACACATATTGAGTTGCCGAACGAAGCTGGCCATGTTGTTGTGCTTGAAGTACTTTGGCAGCACCTCCTTGGCAAACTGGCCTTGGTCAAAAACATGGAAGCTATTCCCACTCTGTGGAGAAATAAAGCAGAGGGGAGTTAGTGGTGGACATGTGGCTGGGAACAGGACCTCTCCCTGTCTCTTACTTTCCTTCCCTCCTGCTCGCATGGGGCCTAGGAGCCCAAGGGACATCATTCACTAGTATCTTCATTGTAATCCTGACAGTAAGCAGGAACACAATCCCCACACTGGACAGACTAAAAGTTGAGGGCTAGCAGAAGGCTCAGTTAAAAGGCAAGCCTGTCTTGCATGGGCTGATGCAAAATGAATGTACTGTGTAAAAACGTACAGCAATATTGTAAGATGATCAGCTGTGAATGACAGCTATTCTCAGAAATATAATGACCCATCTGAAGGACTTAAGATGAAAAATGCTATCCATTACTGATACTGCTTTATTTAAAATATTATATATACATATAAAAAGTTAACTGAATGAAAAAAAAAAGGCAAGTCCATGTCTTGTTTGGAAAGTTATTAGTTACAAAGGCTCCCTCCATTTGGCACAACCCCCACGAATCTATTGATTTCTCCTGGCTGCCCCTGTTCTACCCTTAACCATTCTGGTCCTCTTCCAGTGAAAGGCCTTTCATACACAATGCAAAGTGATGGACTCCAACTCCCACTGACCCTAGGCACCTGAACAGACCACATCAGAAGCCAGTCTCAAAAACAAAGACATCTCAAATCAATCTTGGCATGTAGGCTTTGACTGGCAGTGAACTTTGGAAAGGCTGGGGAAGAACTGCGGTTATTTCCAGGCACCTGCAGAAAGCCCAGTGGGCTTCTGTGAGGCAGCTAGGAAGTGCAATGGATACAGAGCAATGGGCCTGAAGGCAAGAAGAGCTGAGTTCAAATCAGGTCTAAGGCATTTTCTAGCTGTATGACCATGGACAAGTCATTGCACCTCTGCCTGCTTCAGTTTCCACATCTGTAAAATGGGGGTCACAATAGCACCTACCTATCAAAGCTGTTGTGAGGATTAAATGAGATAGTATTTTTGAAGTGCTTGGCACAGTGCCTGTCACAAAGTAGGTGTTTAATAAATGCTAGTTTCCTTCCTTCCTGAAGGTCAGGCTAACACATCTTTGGCATTTAAATGCCTGCTTTTACATTAGGTTCCCCGCCTCTGGGAAGCTAGGTGGCTCAGCGGATAGAGTGCTAGGCCTGAATTCAAATCCAGCCCCAGACATTTACTAGCTGTGTGATCCTGGGCAAATCATTTCACCCTGTTTGCCTCAGTTTCCTCATCTGTAAAATGAGCTGGAGAAGGAAATGGCAAAACATTCCACTATCTTTACCAAGAAAACTCCAAATGGGGTCAAGAAGAGTCAGATATGACTGAAATGAATGAACAACAACCACTCCTCTTCTGGGAAATGTAACCTCTCCCTTCCCTTAGGCATTTTTTTCCCCAGAGCACTGTCCTGTCAGACAAAGAGGTTGCCTCCCAAAATGAAATCTGTATTTCAACTATTCAGGAGGAAAGCCAATGGCAATGTTTTGAGGAGTAAAAGGTAGATATTTTTCTGACACATGAAGTAGGAAATAAATAAGACAAAAAAAAAATCACAACGTCTGCAAAACCTGGTTAGAACATTTTCTGCATCGGGGTACAATTTGTAACAAATTTTCTTTCATGAGCAAGGTTTGCCCTAGTTCCACCTCTCCTTCTGCCATATTGCAGACCTGGCAACAGTCAGGCAGGCTGCTGACCATTTCCTAGTCACATGGCAATAACCCAAAGCCCTAAGCTTCTAGCTTACAAGTAAGAAGTGATTCCCTCGTACTACTACTCAGATGCCCAGAAAGAAAACTGTATTCTCCTTGTATTCGCAAGCAACAAACAAAAGATAACTATTAAGGCCCTCCCTACTATGTTCTAGGCACTGCTGAGTAGAAATACAGGTCAGCTAAGTAGTACAGTGGATAGAGTGCCAGGCCTGGAATTAGGAAGCCCTGAGTTGAAATCTGGCCTCAGACACCTAAGAGCTGTGTGACCCTGGGCAAATCACTCAACCCTGTTTGCCTCGGGTTCCTTATTTGTAAAATAAACTAGAGAAGGAAATGGAAAACACTTTAGTATCTTTGCCAAGAAAACCCCAAACGAGGTCACAAAGGGTCAGACATTACTAAAAAATGATTCAACAACAACAAAGAAGAAGAGAAAGAGCCAGTGGATAGAGACTGAAAATTGGAAAGAGGTATGAAGAGGTAAATTCCCTAAGATGATGAGAAGCTTAAGGGCCCAAATGGGGATATTGTTGGTAGTAAGGAAAAAGACTATCTTTTACTTTTGAGACTAGAGTAATTAATAATAGCTAGCATTAATATAGTGTTTTAAAGTTTGCAAAATGATGTACATATATCATCTCAGTTAGGAGAGGACAGGATAATGTTGAGGTGGATGAGCCTAGAGAAAAGAAGAGAGCTTGTGACAGATGGCCTCAATTTTTCCAGTAAAATGAGACAAAGTCCTATAAAATGCTTTGTAAACCTTTAACTGATGAAAAAATGTTATTCTACTATTCCATCCATGCCCTAAGCATGATTATGTAACTACAAAAAAAGAATGATGTAGACCCTGCTCTCAAGATGCTAATAGTCTACTCTGAATTCTTCCACAGATCTGTGATTTCGCTGGTACAGTATTTTCAAAGATGTAGTTTGTAACCAAACCATACTTTCTCCTCCTGCGGATCTTTTGCCCATATCCTTCCAAAAATTCTGCTTAGGGGACCACCCTCTGCATCTAAACATTATGTGGGTACCAATGCCAAGCTCCTTCAGACCATGTGTTACCCCTTATTCTTGCTATAGGACTGGTCGATCTCCTCTTCCTGTCACACATCTCTTACAACATGCTCCACCCCACTTCTTATGCATTAAAATATGGCATAGTTTATTTATACCAATCATTTGTTTCTCCATCGTCCTTCAGTTCGCCCTCAATTATGACACCTGGAAACTGTTGTACTCCATGACTTCCAGACATATAACATTACTGGGAGAATACTGGTGTGAAACAGATGGATTTTTGTTTCAAGGAGAAGCCTGGGGCTGTTTCCCAAGTCCCATTCAGTCTACTTTCTTCTAACTTTTCAACTGTAACTCAGGTCACTGTGTCTATTTTTAGTGTCTGGACAAGATACATGTACTGATGGATATCACAATCAGGACAGTGTTCACCCACTTGGTTTTTCCTACCTAGATCGTTAGGCTGAACTCTTTTGAGTGTGTATATTCCTAGACACAAACACAGCTAGGTCCCTATTAGTGTGCAAATACTAAATCCCCCAAAGTGGTCTTATTATTTGAATTTTCACAGCACATCTGCATTGGGTTGGGACCAATGACCATATTTTACATAATTATAATTTCAAATAAAGTGAATTCAAATACATGATAGTACTTCAGGGGATTCATCACTTGTACTAATTGGGACCTAGATCAGGAAAATCACTGAATAAAGTTCTCTCTATTATATTTGTTAAGGAATCTCAAATGACCTTAAACACAGGGAATGGAAAACACATTGTTTGGAAAGCCTGAGCCTGTGTTTTCTTCTACCAAGTCAAATACTTTTTTTGTGGTCAACTAACAATAAGCACAGTGGGATCTTGTTTTCTTTGAGTCTTTCAATTATGTGGTGTAAAGATCTGGTCTGCTGGAAAATATCATTAGAAGAGCATGCCTAATGCCCTCGCACATTTTTATCAAGGATGCCCTTAATAACAACATAGAATACTCCCAAAGATTTTGTAGAGATGTGAAACAAAGAATACAGGGGGTTGCATATTGCTGCTCTCTTGATCACCTTCCCCCCTGCAGTAATGCAGTCAGTGATTTTCTTCTAATTATCTATTACTGTTCCCCTCTTTCAGACATCTTAAGAATTGATCTTTTTAAAAGAGCTTTTCAAATCAGGGGGCACGCCTCTATGGTAAGAAGGTATGAAACTTTCTCGGGGTGGTGACAAGAAATAACAGTCAAAATAACTGGGTATTTTCCAGTACACTTTATGTACTGGAAAATTAATAATGCACTGATTTAACTGAAAACAAATTTAAAAGCAAAGTTAACAAGACACTAATGTGACATGTGCCAACAGTTTGGTTCACTTTACTCTGCCAGAGGGCATCAAACATCTAACAGGGCACATCCAAGCAAGGTCACATGTGAATAAGCCTGTGTCAAATTTCAATGTAAGGAGATCTGCCACCGTCACTGTCAGTTATTGTAGGCTTATGACATAGATGAGTTATGCTGCTTTGCTTACTGCAACTGACATGAAATGTGTAAGCTCAAAGTTAAACAATCTTAGTGCTGGAATTAAAAGTACCACAATAGTCATTATATTTCTCAGTGTAATTCATTTTGGTCAGTACAATATAATAAGCTGGTTTACAAAAAACCTTGCAAAAAATGATATAACCCAAGAAGAATTACAATTGAAATTTTCAGCACTTTAGTTCTCACATTTTTATTGTAAATACATTTTATTAGTGAAACAATATCCCTTCATGATGAATAAATAAACAATTACTTAGAAGAGAAAAATCCACCCGGGCAGCTGAAACTAGAAGAAAGAGAAATAGGCATAGTATAAGTAGTAGGAAATGCTAGATGTAAAAAGCAGCATTTGATAAGAGAGATATTGGTGCTGCCCCTAACTACTGATACAGTTGAAACGATGCAAAGCACTCTAAATGGTTCCACCTGCAGATATAATACAGTGGGAAGGACAATTGTCCATATGTCAGAAGATCTTTGTAATCAATTAACTGAGAAATTAAATTCTTTCTGTTTTGTAGTATGAGTAGGTAAAGGAACAGATGTAGTTATAGATGCTTATTTGATAGCCTAGAAACAATATTATAAATGACTTTAGGGAAAATATGTTCTTTTTCAATGCAATATTATGAGAAAACTTCACTATAATTGAAAAAAATTTTTAATGAGTGTAGGAGAATTGTTTTGGACTCTAGTGATGGAGCTCAATGTTGGTATAA